AACTCTATTGAATTAACTACACTTTCCTGCAGTCTTCAGGCCAGTTGGATGATGTCATAGGAATGTATACACAAGAGGCGCTAAGATCTCCTTTTATTAGTCCAGTACTGTAAATGATTGTAAAGCTGCTCTCTTCAGTAAAGCTGCTCCCATACAACAAGGAACCCCCAAGAAAAGAGAGAGGTCCTAAGAGAAATCCAGTAGATAGCAGTAAGGGTGCCACACCAGTGGTGAAAGGGTCCAGAATATTTATTTATTCATGAAAAATTAAGAATTAATATGAAAATGCAAACGCATATCAGGGGCTCATATACTTCCCCTTCATCAGGGCTTGTAAGTTACGCCACTTAAGCAATGACTGGAGTACTTTAAGATATAGTATCAAATGTTTGTACCAGCAGGTAATGCAGCATAAAGCTGATGATGTCTCAGGTCCTTCTTCAGTGGTTGAGGTGGCCAGTCCTGCCTCCTGGTGGTCTCTACGCTCTCATGTAATGACATGTGAGTACAATTGAGTCCAGAAGTACTGTGAGCCCAAGCCAGGGGGTGTCCTTGACCCTCTGGGATCACATAAAGTCGATTAGATGACGCGTAGTGTCATTCAACCCAGAAAATGAGCGGTGAGCAATAGAGGACCTCTGAACAGTAAGTCTCTCGCTCACATGGGGCATACACTTCCGTGCGGCCTGCACGCCCGTAAACAGGCCAAGTCCAGGAGGGACAGGTGCTGAGTGTGATTGCGCGCAGCAGCTTGTTCTTCCCTATAGGAGGACGCGGCTGCACGCTGTCATCTGTGCGGGTACGGGTGTCCGCCCTTGGACGTAGACAGGATGCGTCCTGTCTGTGTCCAAGTGTGGACACCTGTACCCGCACAGATGTGCAGTTCGGGTGTGAATGTGACAGCGTACAGCCACATCCTCCCATAGGGAAGAACGGGCTGCTGCACGGAATCACACAAAGCACCTGTCTCTCCCAGGATCGGCCCATTACGAGCATGCACGCTGCATGGACATGTACACTCCGTGTAAATGAGGCCTTAACGTCAATGAGAAATCAAGATTATTTTGCAAACACGTGGCCGGTGCTTCACAGCCCTCCTGTCTGGAAGAGGGAGGAAGATGGAAGGAGCCGCGTTAGTACACTATGTTGTGTACACTTGAGATCCCTAAACAAACTCAAGAAAAAAAATGCAATACCTGTATATTGCAGCTTACCAGTCCTTATATGTGGTGGCTGCATTCGTTTTCTGTTTTTATATTCTATATTTTCACCTGGTGATCCTGCCAGTAACACGCTTCCTGTCCTATGGTGACAAATGCTCAAGCACTGTACTGTATCTAGAGGAGCAGCATTGTCAACCTAGGGCACAGCAACAGAACACCTCCAACTCTCCTCCATAACAAGAGGCAAGGTGTTCTTTAGTCCACAGAGAAAACTGGGAGCAATGTAACTAATAAGGGCAGCAGAGGCAGGGAGCACAGGAAGTTATCAGCTCACTGGATTTCTGGCAGGATCAACAGGTAATTGTTAACTTAACAGATATTTAAAAAATTGCTTTCAGTGGTATATTTAACAGGCCAAAATGGAGCATATAGGAGAAGTTTATTTATGGGGTTTACATGCCCTGTAAAAAGGAAATGCACTGTTCAGTTCAAGCAGGGTCCATACAAACCCGTTACAGCCCATTACGTCATTGCTCTCTTTACATAGCAGTCTCAATGCAGACAGAATATATTACCTGTAATATCAGAACGTGACAAAACAGCGTTAAATTTCAAGGCGTAGAGGTCAGACTCCAACACTTTCCACCCTTTCTTCTTCAGTGCGCTCGCTGCTGCGTCCTTCATGGCATAATTAAATGACGTCTTCTCCTGGTGAGCTAAAACTAGCAGTGCGGTTTTGCCTAGGAACAGATAAACATGATAAAGATCCACATCCTTCTATTAAAGCTTTGTGAATCCGAGTCTCATTAGATATGCTCAGCTTTGTCAAACAGTTAATGAAAAAAGTATTTAATAAATAATGATATTTCAATGTTATTTTTGTTTTATCCTCGCGTTTCTATACTCAACTGACAATTGAATATACCATGAAGCATTGGCCCCTTATTTGTAGAAAAATAATAGCCATTCTATAAAGCATTGAATGTGATAAACATTCACTGGTAGTGAATACATTTTTCATTTAAAGTGCATGGACCTGGAAGATTGACCTATACTGACGTGCGGTGAAAGTCATCATCACTGCTTCATAAATATGCCACTTCAGCCATAAATAACCAAAAAACTTACTCTAACCAAAACTGAAGAAGTGTGTTTAGATATACATTAATCAATGTGGTATATAACCCCTTGTAACAGAAACCAGCAGTCACAGGACTCTATGCTGTAAACCTTTCATGAATGTGTGTGGTGGTAGGGGGGGATTGGGGGCTAAAAGGGGCTTGAGAGATGGAACCAAGGAACACACACTGGTCTTAACCATTGCAAACTCACTTTTGGCATTGTCCGGCAGGGCCGGATTTACTCTCTCTGCTGCCCCAAGGCCGGGTTCCTCAATTGCCTGAAGCAGTGCTAAATGTAGAAAAAAACTACTCGCCCGACGGCTGTGATGCCCCTCTACTCCCTGCTGCCCCAATGCCGGGCCTCGGTGGCCTTGTGGGAAATCCGGCACTGATCGCAGGGTGGCCATGGGCGATGATCACTCTAGAAAAAATAACCTGTGTACATGTATTCTTTTAGGGTGATTTCTCCCATTCATGCCTGATCCATGAGACTCAAGATTAAAAATCTCCCTTGTAGTCCTAGGGTAGCTAGCAAATCAGCCAGTTGCAGAAGAAGACCACAACATCCACCAGAAAATGTTGGTGTTTGAGTGCACTGTAGCTTTAACCAGTTGACATCCGCGGTGTTAAACCCCCTTCCCATCCAGGCCATTTTTCAGTATTCAGCGCTGCGGTACTTTGACTGACATTTATTCCGTCATGCAGCGCTGTACTGAAATGAATTTTATACCCTTTTTTGGGGACAGATAGAGCTTTCTTTTGGTGGTATTTATTCACCACTGGGGGTTTTATTTTTTTACTATATTAAGGAAAAATTACCGAAATTTAAAAAAAAAAACAGTTTCCCCTATATTAAATGATAAAACATTTATTATTACCCAATTTTTTGGTAAAATATAAAAGATGGGGTCACGTCGGGTAAAAAGACACTAAACATGTCAAGCCTTAAAATTGCGTGCGCGCGCGAAACCTCAAAAAACGATAATACCCAAAATTGGCCCTAGGCGACGCTTTAAAAGCTGTTACCGCTCATCAGTTTAGTGTTATCAGTGATTGATGGCCCTAAAATGATTGCTCTCACTGCGACGTTCGCGGCGATATGTAACATGTGTAGCGCAATTGTAATTTTTGCGCGCTGGGGCACCGGACGCGTATTTACGTTTATAGGCGCGTAAACGTGGGGGTGGGGGAGTTAAACATTTTGGGGGGGTTTTTTCCCCTTTTTTTATATGTGGCTTTTATTTTATTTTATTTTTTTATGTGTTACTTTTCTTTTTTTTTATTTATATTTTTTTTTTTGCACTTATTGTTATTGCTATTATATAGGGGGATAACAACCCCCTATATAATAGCAAAGGCACACTGACAGGTCCTCTTTATGGAGATATTAGGGGTCTCTAGGACCCCTAATATCACCTATGGACCCCAAAAGAAGCTGATAAAGCAGAGATCTGCTTTATCAGCTTCTTCTCTCTCCAGATGACTGACAGGTGAATGCGGAAGTGATGTAACACACATCACTTCTGCATTCACAGCCCGGACGGGGATCAGCAAGGAGCTGATCTCCCGTCCTCCTCCTCCTGACGCCCTCGGAGCCGGTCCCGGGATCCAAGATGGGGCAGCGGATCCCGGGAATCAAGGTGAGGGGTCAGGGGGAAAAAAAAAAAAAAAAAAAAAACCGGAAGCGCCGACCGCGAACGAGCACATATAGGCGATCGGCGGGCTATGGACCCGCCGATCGCCTATATGTGAAACACCCGGTAACGGGTGTGTGCATTTAGCGGGTCTTTTCTGCCCGTGCGTGCCCGCTAGGGGGCGCGCGCGAGCAGAAAAAAATTGCCGTCTGGAGACGGCAACCCGCAGATGCTGCAGTGCCGTCCGTCCGTTTTTTTACTACGGGCGGACGGCAAGAGGTTAAATAAGCTGGAATTTAAAAAGGACCTGCTGCAATAAAAGTGGCCATGGAATTTGACCATATATTGAACATGACTGATCCAGACTGTTCTCTAGGTAGGCGTATATAATACAAGACAGATAAGGCTGTTCAGGCCCTCAGGAATGTAGAGAACATAATTGTAGCATTCAGTCAGACTCAATTGTATTCCTTGAAAGCTGTTGATCAAGTTGAACAACCAAGTAAAAGCTCAGTGACAAATGATGTATAGGTGGATACCATAGGAAAGAAAATATGATAAAGCATTATGAAGAGAAGGAGACGAAAGGGGGGATCAACTGAGATCATGTGACCAATACCTAGGCTTTTTGCTATGGGACCACTGTGAGAGCTTTCAGCAGGACAGGTAAGAAAATACTTTTATGTAGCAGAGTGGGGAAACATTGGAACCTCTCTGAGGATCTTTTTGCTGTCCCGAGGATCTTTAGGTCCTGGTAAACCTTGTTGCTTTCATTTTTAGGGAGGTTGTCACTGGGCAAGGAAAGGGAAGCCCTCCCCGGTGGGGGCACAAAGGGGGAAAAAAGCTTCAGCTGCATGTTCAACTTTAACCTACTAAGTGATCAGGAGTGGTCTGGTGCTGAGATTGTGTTTGGCAACTGGAAAGCTCCAATTTCTTTTTTGTACAGGTCAGCCCATCCACAAGGAATCGATGTACTAAGTCACCTCTTCCTGACCATCGTATAGTCTTCTCACTCTTCTGCATTCTCTTTAAACCAGAACTTTAACATGATGGCCAAGGGTTGGCAGCTCTTGCTCTAATGGTCAGGAATGCATAACTGTTAATTGGTGTAGCTTCCCAGCATCCACCACTGATATATATCAGCTTTGGCTAGAATGACCCTTTAACTTATTACTGTCATCTAATAAAGATGATACAAGTAACAAGAAACTTTCATCTTTGCACTTTTGCACCTACAATTATGGCTATTACATGTGAATGTTTCATAGAGGAGGACATTAAAGGAGAACTATGGGGTCAGGGCTTTTCCCCATAGTTCTCCTTAGGGTAACGGGAGGACACAAACTAGCGTCCTCCCGTTACCCTAAGCTCAGTATACTGAGACGCCGCAGCCGGACGCGATCCCGACATCGAGGTCGAGACCCGCCCAGCTGCGTGAGTGACAGCTGGCTCTGCCTGTCTAGAGGCAGAGCCAGCTGTACCCGCCCCCTCCCCGTCCGTTCCGCCAGTCAGCGCTGGCGGATGGGAGCGGGGAGAATCCAGCCCCTCCCCTGTCACGGCAGAGAGCCGTGACAGGATCGAGAGGTGAGTGAGCGCCGGTATGTGTTCGCTCACTTCCCGATCTACTGAGCCGACCTGTGACAGTCTCATTGTCACAGGTCGGTTAGAACTATGAGGTGAGTGAAAAGCACTCACCTCATAGTTCTCCTTTAAATAAACCCTTACAGTGGGGCTGCCCCTGCACTGCAAGGGTTAAGTGCCCATTTTGGTCTATGGGCAAAAAGAATATACACGCACCTGATCATTGGTCCTGCAACAGTGTCCGCTCACCTCTCTGGTTGTGGTATGTTCCTCGGCGTTCTCACATCTAATAGACTTGTATGAGACGTCATGGGTCCTTAGACTTGTATAAGACGGGGAAGAAGAGGCTGCTGGAACTAGTCTAGCAGCCAGGCAGGACCAAGGGTCAGGTGAGTATTTTTTCTTTATTTACATCCCTAGATCAAAACTAGCAGTTAACCCCTTCAGTGCAGGGGGGAGCCCCACTGCAAGGGTTATTTCAACAGAATCCTAGCGTTCCTCTTTAAAGTTGGCCATACACATTGAAATCTGCTTGTGCGTTCAACTTTTAGCTTAGCATACAGGTTACGATCTGACTCTACAATCTCCTTTGGAGGTACCAAAGCTTTGCAGCATGGGAACCATCTAAACTCTCCAATCAGTTTGTATTCAATCAGGCAGGCACTTGTGCTACATAGTTGTGGGTCGATTTTATTTATTACAGGCATTTATATACTGTAGTGTTGAGAATTTACGCAGCTGTTTACATATTGTGCATTCACATCAACCTCTGACCTGAAGGAGCTTACAATCTAGAGCCAATTTATCTACCAGCATGTCTTTGGCGTGTCATCTGACCATAGAAAATCTGCAGATAATCTATAGGTGTATGGCCAGCTTTACTGATACAAACCTAAAATATTTTTTTTTTTTTTTTTAATGTAGCCCCCTGATGTTATATCTTTTCAGTTATAGTGAGGGAGATTGTTCAATTCATTTGTATTGTGCCACCCTAAATTCATAGTCAACTATATCTCAGACATCATAAATCTGGTGACAGCATGAGTTTAAAAGGGATTGTCTGCTCGCTCCTCTGCAATCATCCTACATCAGAAATAATGACAGAGATGTTCTGGTTCTCCAGAAAGCGTCCCCGATACTCACCAGCCATGATTTCCTATAATAACGTTTCAGGTTTCCTATGTTATGTCCTTCCCGTGAACATGTAAATATCAGAAATTACAAAATCAGTGCTCGCTGGCTATTTATAGAAAATCGTGACTGTCCAGCCCTGAGAGAATCAGCATGACAAGGCAAAAAGTGAGGGAGTATTAGGTTTATCAGTAGAACAGTCCCTCCCAGGCCAAACAGTCCGCAAATCAGAAAATAACAAGAATCGACCAACCGGACAGGTTCCTCTCATGTTTCTAGATACATTTTCATTTCACACCCAGAGATGAAAGGAAAGGCAGAGAGCAACATCAGAGCTCAAAATGGATACAATATATTTATACAGTACATGTATACATTTTATTTTTATATGTGTAAACAATTATGTATACATATACATCATATATATAGAATT